CCGGTATTTTCACACCACTGAAAGTATTGAATTTGATGAAAAGTAATTCGAAGTAAAAGATGCCGCTTGAGGCTTGGATAAGAACAACGGGATGTACGAAATACCGTATGCAGGCTGCCCAATAGGCAATATAAGACAATCGCCGACATCATCAGAAACCAGGCTGAACGAACATCAGAGGTCTACCACAGGTCAGCCCACAGGAAGGGAGAAATGCAAAATTTTGTGAAGAGGTTCGTCGGTAGTGGCTTATGAGAGGGGTGAAAAACGTTACATTGGTCGGAATAACACTCTGACACCAAAGTCCCACAAAAAATGGAAAGAAACGTGGGTAACATGGTCCATATTTATGTAGGCCACCCCTGACGCATGCTACTAATTTCAGTGAGCACAACGGTCGACCGCACGGAAGATTGAACGAACGGATTGACGAAGATTATATATATATATATATATGCACGATAATTACTGGTAAATGTATGAGTAAGTATTTCCAGAACATTCCGGCTCTTCGTGTTATGACAGGCAATAACTTTGCTTGAGATATTGCCAAAACAAGACCTTATCATTGTGGATAAACTTTGCATCGAAAGCTTGCTCATGATACCTCGATAGAAGTAAAGCGTACTTCGACTACACTGCGAATGGAAATTAGCTAAACTGGGTTACAGAGCGAAAAAATTTAACCGAAAGAAGAAGCTGACATGCACATCCATGTGAGATTGAGTAGCACCTACGGTGAGAAACAAAGGCTGTAAGAACAACCTGAAACGCAGAAGCAAACATGGAACGACTGGAGAAAATTTGGCTACGGAGGCCCTGCTGGAGAGGTTTTCGTGCTGCATTCCACCAGTTTCAGTTTCGACCCACTATGACCGAGTGTTCACAGCAAGTCATGGTTCGAACGCCACAGTGCGTTGTCGATTGGCTGCCACCCAAAATCATGGGACGCTGGGCACTACGCAAAACTTGTAATAAAATAAGTACTGATATGTTCATCCCCTTATGCACATCCCTAGAAATGGAGCAGTAAAATGTTCATTAGTAGTGACTCTCTGTCCGAAAGGTAATTCAGATCCACTGGAGGGAGTTTATAGGACAGTTCCTCATGCGACCCTTGAGGTGACCTACCTCAACTCTGAAAACTGGTATCTGCAGCTGAATCTCTTCCACTTATCGGATCCCAGGCAGAGCAGCGATTTAAACATATTACGTGGCATTCTAAAAGGTGACTTGACCAGATCTATCTTTTCTGCCCCTAATCTCCAGGTAGGAGAGAGTGCACATGGAGGGTACAAAGATAAAGGGGAAATCTGTCTCTGTAGAGTTGACCCGGTCATCAAGTAATTAATTCCTTGAACCACAGGGGGGTTGTGTTGGCACCATACATCGAATCATTCGAGAGGGAATTGAATGAGCTCGTGGATCTCCTGTGGGCGGATTAAAATATGATCATCGCTTTCTTTCCTGATGCTGACGATTTGTAATCCGAACTTTTAATCCGAGTTTAGGTTGAAAAGATCAGTAGACACCCCCAACAGTTTGATCGGAAGTGCGTGAAAAGCTGAGGAAATGATGTGAGATTTATTGATTGTCATTCACGAAACCCAAGAGGTTTAGGCTAGCGGCAAAAATGGGACTGTAAAGCTTAACTGCTATCAGCGCAGTTACACTAACAAGACCTGCTTACCAGCGGGGGATCTCTTCACAAAGGTTGCCGGGTGCACACTCTGATTGAAAAGCACCGCTTGCAGATGCCCTTATAGCATGACATAGGGTGAAAGATCAAACAGGATGCGCTGTGCGGCGCTATGAGGGCAAACCGCAGTCCGCCAGACTGGGAGATAGAAGGCAACCTCCAAGCTCACTAAACACAAAGCCAATCGCGAAAGAACCATCTCGTGAACTAATGCCTGTAAACATAATGGCAATTTATTATTATTATTATTATTATTAAAAGTCAAATATAGTGAAAATGAAAAGGTTGTGACACTAGTCATGGTAATATAGTCAGATAAGGATTACCAACGTAAATTAGGTGAAACAACAAATTGTTCACAAATTGTGTACAAAAACAATTTGTTGTTTCACTTAACTTACCATGGTAATCATTATCTGATTATATTACCAAGACTAGTGTCACAACCTTTTCGTTTTCACTATAATGGCAATCGCCAACGTCACCTCAACACCACGGTGCTTGCAAGACCCAATAAACGGAAACTTGCCACTTCGGCAGGGACTGGCAACCAGCCTACAATGGGCCTGCACAATAACTTCCACACATGTCACCCTACCGCACTAAGCCCAGAATATTGATTGTTGACATGCTTCTACAGTAAGGTTGGAGGTTTAAGAAGTAAACCCCTGTAGCTGGGAACAATGAGCTGTCAGCTGCCCGCAGGCATAATATTCATTACAGACGCGTGGGTCTCACCAGACAACTTGGACAGGATACGTAGGCATTTAAAATGACCCTGTTAAATAAATAAATGAATATTTTATTCTCACATGAGTAATTTAACATGGGAGAAGCCAGTTTACAGGCATCATCACACTGATATATGTTGAAAAATGTACAGGATTTTACGGCTCCTGAATGGTACGGAGAGTATGTCATTAAACTCTATCAAAAACATCGGAACATTCTTCTAGTTATGAAATGAACACTAACACATCACTTCACAGCGTATGCACAGCGTCACAGTTAAGGTAATAATACTTCTTATTCTCATGTGAAGGATCCAGCGTGGGGGAGATCAGATTAAGAGCGTCTTCAAATTGATAATTCTTGAAGGTTTACAAAGTGGTACTTGGTGTTATGTAGCTCACACACCAAGTCACTGATGTGCATAACCTCATCAGAAAATTCCTCAGTTTTTGCTAAGGGACAGTTAGTTTGAAAGAATAGGGAGAGTAGCCATACATGTTTCCGTGAACTTGAGAACCATGGAGCAGGTTGATAGCATGCTCAACGTATTACCGAACTCCTTGTAGTGATATTCCACTGTAGACCGAACAAAGCCAACTGAAAGCGATATACAGTTCGCTGTTCATAATGGGGCAAAAGGAGCGAATGCTCACCACGACTTCGGCATCTGCCTTGGCGGCCTATGACCATGGTGGTACTGGCTGGAGACTTCAACACAGGCACTTAGTGTGAAATGGAAAGGGCTGTAGACATTAATCCTTTGATTAGAGGCTTCGAAATGCACCTGTTGCAGCAGGATTAATACGGAAATCTTGAGACGGGTAAGAGATGGGCAAGAATCACAACTTGACCGCATTCAAGTAAACGACAGTCTCTTAGCAGACAAAATTTGTGTTCGGTCCTTTAGGCAGAAGCCAATCACCCACTGGTGGGATTTCCCATGGTAACCATGGAAAAACCACCGGTAGTTGAACCAGAGGCATTGCGCTGTCATCGGAAGGCAGACTACCAGCCCATGAGCCCAAGCTTTCGGTAGCTCCCCACACAACACCATGCTCGCAAAACTTGCGAAAGTTGGTAAAAGTGAATCACTCAGCACGCTTGACAGCATTCGACGCCAGAGTAGATAGAGCTTATTCAGTCTGAAAGAGTGCAAAACGGGGGTTTCGGGGACAGCGATTCTTTGGCCACTCCTATTTGGCTATTCATCAGTGACCCCTCTGTTGAAATCTTCCCGCCTATCTTTCCATTAGCCGACGATATCAAATATGGTGGACAACAGGTAGGGAAGAGGATCAATGGGTACTCAAAGGCCATCTGCTGGAGTAGGTGTCGTGGTCAGCTGCGGATGGTTCCGGCTATGACTTTGAAAAGTGCAGAGCAGTGCATCTTTGCACACCGAAGCGATGAAAACTAGCTACACCCTAAACCACTGTGCAATCATCAGGGCATCCACAGAGAAGGACCTAGGACTAAACCTCTCTAACCCACTGGTTATCAGTGCTAACTGACAGAGAATGGCAGCAAACAAGACGCTATCATGCACCTTCTGGTAATGCAGACTGGAGTGCTTACCCCAGAATTATTCCTCATGGTATTTAGAACCTATGTAAGACCACACCTAGGGGTATTAAACGCGGTAGCCGGTTCACTGTTGTAGGGAGACGCGAGTACTCTCGCGAACAGTACAGAGATGTGAGACAAGGTTGGCTGCCAAAACGATTGGCAAAAATTGTGTATAATATCCTATAAAATGCAGCTTCTTCTCCATAAGCTATTGGGGGAAAAGAGGTGACCCAGTTCCAGCTCGCATGATTAATCACCAAAGGGACCACTCCAGCAGAACAGCATTATCGGCCCCAAACCGACAGCATCTCTAAAACCCCATTGGTATACCTCACTATGAGGTGGAGAAGACAGCAAGACCTAACTTCTTCTCTCACAGGGTGTGTGCCTTGTGGAACGCTGTGATGAAGGAAGTAGCCAGTCACACCAGTTGACTCCTTCAAACGACTGCCCGATAGGTATGTGAGAGCGAACGCCTTCAGAGGAACGTTCACCAGCAATAACTGAAGGTATGTTCATCCATCCATGTATTACTCAAACCTAGTGTCTGCAGCAGGACCCATCTTTCTTCATACTTTTACTAGTCACAAATTTTCCCCAAATACTTTTTACTCCTGTTTTCTCATTCCTCACTCACCATATTTACCGCACTACTTTTGAGTAACGTCTAAAGCTTACTGGCAGTTGCTCAAAAAACGGGAAATGCAAAAGGTCAACTGATCTTACTGGTAGCTTCGTTTCCAACCTTAAACAAAGAAATCTGTAATTAGCAGAAGAAAACCAAGTAGACAATCGCTACATTCACAGCCATATGCAGGTAAAATATGGAAAGTTCTGCTGTCTCTAAAGGATTTCAGCTGAACAAAAAGAACTGAACCTCAGGATCTAGAGGAAATTGCTCAAAAACCACAATTTTCTTCTGCTGGCAATATTGAGGTTTGTTTGATGAACTAGCGCGCCCTCAAACGTATCAGTAATTGCACTTCAAGGGCGGTCTTTGTGAATGACTTGTAAGTTAGTTTTTTTTTTTATCTTTTCACTTACCTTATTGTCTTTAAGTGTCAATATGGACCCATTTGTACTCAGTTCGGTATCTTTGGTTTTATTAAAAGTTGCTTATCCGTAACCTGGTTTATTTTTCCAACAGTTTGATCCCAATGCTTCCTGCTTCCGATCCACGTACTAGTTATTCTGGAATGTGTGAAGATCCTTCTGTTTGTCGTGACTTCCTGCGTAACGTTTGTAAACGTGGCAAAAAATGCAAGTTTAAACATCCACCATCGGAGGAATGTGAAAGGCTACGGTAAGTGCGCTAAGCGTATGACGATGATATAATGTTAGTCGGTTTATATATACCCTTTCTAGACGATTTATATTTATTACCTTTACGTTTCTTTTGTGCCCGATTGTATGAATTGCATCCGAAATTCTGCAGTGAAGCGATTAACGTGTAGCACCCACTGTGTGTATGGTGTGAACGAGTAGATTCCTTAACTGTCTCTATATCACCCAAGATCTACTTGGGCTGATGTTAATTTACAAACTTCTTTTTTAAAAATCTCCATCAGGTAAGAGGGCTGTCTTGTGGTTGGGATCATACGTATTTCCTCTTCAATACACATCATTTTCGATCTGTTAATGACTGTAGTTACTTTTAAATATTCTGTCGGCTCCTTGAGTTTCTGATGGGTGATTATTTTACTTGATGGTCTGTAATCTTGTTGTATTCAGTGGGTTCCTTCGGGTTTATTAATGTAATAGAAAATGAATGGAGAACTTATGTCAACTATGAGAAGAGAGTAAGGAACTCTAGGAACGAACCAACCAAGAACCTATCACCCAACAAATATCCAGAGGAAGAAAGTGGGGATGGATGGAGCATACAATGAGAAGGCCGATTGGGGACATCACGCGCCAGGCCAGGCCCTCGAGTGGAATCCAAAGGAGAAACGACGAGTTGGGTGTCCCAGCTGAGGGTGACATGGAGGAGATCATGTGAGGAAGAAATGAGAGCTTCTGGGCAGTTGTGGAGCGAGGTTCAAAAGACTAGAGAGAAGAGAGTGGAATGGAGGCGTGCTACTGAAGCCCTATGTTCCACTAGGAACCCGAGGAAAAAATGATAATAAGTGGGTGTAAGTAAACATGCATGACCAAACACTTTCGGGTAATCTTGTTTTCCAGTCAGAGCAATTGATGGTGCTCACCACTTCATCAGTTCTGAAGACAACTCTTCATAGGCCTTTACACAGCTGCGTGAGTTCAGGTAGAGGGTTTTGATTAGTGTTTTAAAATATGCTTTGATACTGCCTCCACAGTCAGACACCGTCACACTTCACGAGCGATAGAGTAGAATGTCGCCTTCAGGTTAGATAATAATCTTTAGATAGGTGATATCAGGTCATTCAATCTTCCTTATTCAGATGGAAAATATCACTCTTTTGTTAAAGATAGTCAAAACTGTCGATCATTTCTATACTTCTGCCAATGGTGAATTCTACCTGTCTAACCACCTAGTTTTGCTAATACTGGATAAATTTTGTTCCAACTTCGAATTTTTTCTTTTGTTTTTCTTTTCATCTTTGTTTACTCTTTTGACATAAACTGTTTGTGTATGTCGTTTTTTTAAAGACTGACATACTGCCAGTACTTCTAATTGCATTGCAAATCACATTCTTCAACCGGTCATAAGTATAGTTTTCCGCTGCTAAAATTGCTGTACTATCTTCACATCTTTTAAAGGTTTCATTTCATTATTCAAGAAAATGTTTTCCAAATTTCTTTAAGATGATGCTAAGTTACTCTAGGCAAATGTTTTTTCTATATTTATCTTCCAGTCGTCTTGACAAAACATTTTGTCACGACTTTCAAAATTCAACATGTCGCCGACCAAATTGCAAATTTTTGCACTATACAAAAGAAGAAGAAGAAATATTTCGTCGTACTGGTTATTTACCCCATGATATGCAATGGCCATATCGCTCAGCCTCAAATACTTATGATGAAAAAACACCAATTTGCAAGGTATTGTTATATTAGCAATAAATTATGTACATGTGTGATTCGTTGAGTTTTATTCGCAGTAGTAGGTACATCATTTTGTAGGATATATGGCTGTGAAATATGCCCATTGAAGGTGAAAGATATAAGAAGGCTTCAAGTGTTTGACCACCGCTGCCTTCGTAGTATAAACAGTATTCCGTGGTGTCATCACGTAAGCAATGCAGAAGTGAGGTATAGAGTTTTAGCGAGGGAGTAGAGGTAAATCAGTTGACGATGTTATGAACCTTCATCGATTGAGATGGATGGTTGTGACACGTGTTACGTATGCCTAGTTGCCGATTGCCTCGTCACACAATGTTGGTGGAAGTTGTTCCAGGCTGGGAAAAGGGTGGAGGTGGCCAGAGTAAAACATGGCACCAATGTATGGAGTGTTTGACTGTTGGTTTGAGCCATGTGGGGGTGATGCGGACTAGGTGGTTGGTGTCCGTGGGACAAGAGGAACCAGTGGTTGGAGACTGACTGACTGACTGACTGTAGGTGATATGGTTGAGAACGGATGTTGGTGGCGCAGATGTATCCCGACACACATTATCGTCATGTTAACGATGCTATACGGAATGTCACCATTTTCTCACTCTTCGTTTTCTGTCTTTTGGTAGTTTATATTTCTTTTGACTGAGTTTTCTTATCTTCATCTTGGACGTGACTACCTTTCTAGTTGATGTAGTTATTATATGAGGTGTGTCAACTCGGAGTGTTATGCAGTAATGCCTGGTCCTATGTTGATATTGATTGATTGGGATATAAGAAGATTATGCAATTGATTCAGGTTTATTGATTTTACTTCTCGGTGGGAATCGGTTATCATCATACTATGTGTAAAATGTATCTGAATATGGATGCAACGTCTTGAATAGCCGACAGTATCAAGGTCGCTGCATAGGAGTCCATCTGCCAGCAGGGATCGAGCAATTTCACTCTGTTTAGCAACCGGAAATTACAAGTATCAATGCAACAACTGATACTTGTTGCCCCAGCGTTAGGTACTGAGTTGGAGTGCCAGAGGGAATAATACACACTGAGGTGCAGGTACATTCAGCTGAGTCTCTAATAGAACAAAACGCTCGTCAATCTGGATTCCACTGCGAGTCACCAAGATGAATACAACATTGTGGATATGAATATCTTTAAAATGATTAACTTTGTCTCCTATTCATTCTGTTGAACTCTTAGTGTACATTCGTATTTATATATATCGTAAACATAACGGTCTATTATAAAACAATAGGGTATACTTACATCATTAACCTAGTGCTAAAAAAACCGGAATCAAGAATGCAAAGTAGTTGCGTAATATTCTAAGGCAGTGGAAGTAGCGAGGAAGGCAAGGGGTTTGACAAGGTGAAAATTGTTGGTAGATAAGAAACGCAAATATTGAGTGTCAACTTGAAAGATAGGTGTAAAGAAGGTGAAGAATGAGACAAGGGTCATAATGAAGGTGATAATAATAAACTAATTAATTATAATGAAATCGAAAACGATTGTGATAGTGTTAAGACCATGGTAATATAAGAGATTGAACATACTTGACGCAGAGATCAGGCTTGGATTGATGAATTGCCAGTGCCTCTGCTGTACACAACTGTCGAAGGCGTACTCTTTTTGAACTATTGCATCTGACACGATAAATGACACTGAAAGAGGATTCTGGTCAAGCTTTGTGTCCAGAGTTGACCAAGTGTTCAAGAATTGAACTGTTAATTGATTTACTTTCTCCCTTCGACATTCATGCAGGATAGTGCTCCGAGATACATTTGGAAAGCGTGCGCTTTGTGCGGCCCATATAACTAGCTCCACAGGAGCAAGTAAATTTGTGGACACATATCGAGGTGGCCCAAAGTGGAAACGGAATGAGTTATTGACTAGAGAAACTGATCTGCAGCTTCGCAGAGAAGAATGTTTTCTTCAGTTATATGTGATGAAAACCCTGCAATCACTTAATGTCTTCTGCCATATCTCGACCATATCTCACAGGTGTACAACAGGACAAAACGTACTGCTGTGCAGTATACTCATCCTTTGATAGATGGTCACACATCTCACTAGTCTGTGCCACAGATGACGCAACTTGGTGAGTGCCGAATGATCCTTTTTTTATTTGAGCTGAGATTCCATCAGCAAGCATCTCGTTCGAGCTTGTGCAACTCTCGAAGTAAGTGAAGTGGTCGGCACGTCTTAACGCTTCACTCTCTATTACTAAAGTGGGAGTGGTTCCAAGCCAATCCTGGAGCACCATCTTTCATTCGACTGGTGCGAAACGCATGCCAAACACTCAGATTTCTGATCAACGCCTTCAGAAGACCGTGCATTTATCAGAGTCTTCGCCTAGCAGCACAATATCATTTGTCTGTTTCAAGCCAACCAGATGACCTCCAAGGAGTAGTTTAATCCATGTGAAGTCAGAAGTATTTAAGATTATTGACATAGGCACATCTCTAATGAAATTAAACAAGAATGGTGACAGTGGGGGGATCCCTGGAGGACATCAGCAGTTGTCATGAATTCTGACGACAACTCTTCATGAGCCCTGACATGTCTGTGTAATTTCTAGTAGATAGCTTTGATTAATGTTGTGTGCCTGCTGGGTTGGATACTGCTGCAACACCTCACGGTTGGCAGCACAACGGCACAGAACCGATTATTCATTGTCAAGCTTTCAGTAATAGACACTGTCTCATGCATGTTAACCTGATTCAACTTGTCTTACTCTTCTAGTTTCAGCTTTTGAACTATTATTCTAATGGTTTATGTTTTCCTGTCATGGTTTTCTTACCTCTCAGCTGGATATCAATTTTGGCTACCTGGGTCATCTCTTCACTTTCCTGGAATTTAATTGTTTATTGATAAACATTTTGAATATAGTCGGGGAGTAGTTGTCTTAATTTTGCATACCTGTGGATTACCCTACGATGTCAAAATGTGCTTGTGAATGGTGGTTTTGTTCATATCTTTCCAATTTTTTCCTATTTCTTTTTTTTTTATCCAAATAGGACTTTACCAATGGAGCCTGTAATCGTGGATCAAACTGCAAATATCGCCATATCAGTCAACAATGCAAGAATCAGTAAACCAAGCCTTATATAGTCAACCTAATGTACAAGAAACAGGTTTTGTGAATAAGAATATGCCATCTGGGCATTTTAATCCTTCTATGTTCAGCATTTCAAATCCAGATAATTCATCTCACTTCCGTCAATCGTCTTTCATAAATAATGCAGTCATTGTATCACCAACTGATTCACTTTTAAATCCTGTAAGTAGTGGATATATTCCTGGAGGCTCTTCGCATTCACTTGTCGGTCTTATTGGTAATACATCAACAGGACAGCCTACATTGTATACTGCTCATTCATCGCTTGTTTCACTTACGAGTGCTCGTCACATTACTCCATGTTCTTCTGTTCTCACAGTCGGTGCTGATCCTATACACCATCCTAATGTAATCCATCCTCAGACAGGACTATCAGCACATCATGCAACTTACCATATTGTTCCACATGATGCCTCTCCACATCATCATCATCACCATCATCATTTGCTTGCAACAAGTTCTAGTCATTCACATGCTCCTACTCTGTTAACTATTCCTCTATCTCAATTCACTTGTAATGTAAGCAATAATAGTTTAATCCAGTCCCAGGCGGCTATTGCATGTTCTACTCAACATCATGCTGTTGTAACCGGTGTATTACCAGCACATCCATCTATATCAACTGCACCTGCCGCATACTTTCCCTCTTATGGTGTTTTCCAAATTAATCAACCAACCCTGGAGACTTGTGATCAGCAAGTTAAAACAGAAATTCATAAACAAGTTCATGAAACTAAACAATCAACTTGTTCGACAGCAGCACCAGCAACCACAACAACAACCCCGGTGGTGACTTCTGCTACAACAGCGGCAACTTCGGTCTCATCTTCTACAACAGCTGTGTTAGCTGCAGCCGCTGCTGCTGGATATATTGCTCAACATTTACCGGTTATTGGCTCTAACAACTTATCTGGAAGCAGTAACATATCTCAGGAACATAATAATAATCTTATACTCAATCCATCGAAAGGTGTCAACGTGCATGAGTCTGCTATAGCAGCTGCAGCGAATTTACCAACAGTATCCGCTGCAGCGGCAGCCGCAGTGGCAGCAGCCGCTGCATTCGCCTGTTCAACTTCTATTTCTCAAAATTCAAAGGTAAGATATGTTGTTAGCGAAAACCTTCAGTTCATGTTCGAATTAAATTACTTTACTAGCTGAGGTTAGGGTTTGCCACGCCACAAGCTAAACATTGCCATCAGTGTAAATTCAATGGTAAAATCCTGGCTAAACAAAACTCTTCATTTGAGAGGGGACTCAGTAGTCATGCGCAGTTTCACACTGCCTATTTTCCCAATTTGTGGTATATGGAGTGGGTTTGGAACCTGTGATCTAGTGGTCAAAAGTGTCCTATCTAAATCTAATGACCTACAATTCCAGATATGAAGTTTCAACCAATGGGTCATGGTTCCGATCTCCACTCCGCTAGGCAGTAGTACTATTGGCCTTCACACACAACAGGTGTGATTCATTTCCTACTGCACGAATATGTGCACAAGGTTATTGAGTGCATTTCAGTTTCGTAGCTAGACTTTCTCTACATCATTTTTCATTATCCTACATGAATTTTAACAGTTTTAACTGATTTTTATACAGTCAGTTGTTACACAGCGCAAAGCGTTATCAATTATTAATATAATTGTCCCAATGGCTTACTAGGAAAATGTCACTGAAAGTGAATTCTAAGGGAAATACCATACAGTCTAGTGTGTTGACAAACCGACCGATCAAATACAACAGTTCAAGCTACCGAAATTCACCTCAGCGCAGAAAAGGAAATAATCAGAAAGTAACGTTAACACTAAGAGGATAAAAGACAAATCAATGAAGATTACGTGATATGTTCGAAGTGTGAAGGATGACAGATAGTGCATACGTGAGTGTCTTTGTGCTCGATTTTGAGTCGTTACACGGAGAATTTCGTATAATTAGTGAGGATTCCAGTTAGGCAGTCTCTTCTCTCCTATATCACTAAAACCAACTGTCGTTCAGTGATTTCATATTTTGGTCACCCCTCAGCCTACTTTAGATCTAGTTGTGCTTGCTTGATGTACTATTCCATGTCTAGATAGATAATGACATAGCATGTATAAAAATTCCCAACCACCTCAGTTGGTTACAGGCTTGTAAACTCATTGACTGCCTTACCTTATCACTCTGCACCTACCGTCAACTTTGTTCATTTGATGTTTCCATCACATGTGAGCAGTGGTACAAATACATGTGTAGTCAAAATTTTATGCTCTCAGCATATCTCTTACCTTTGACCGTTGTTTTACTGCTAGTGTGCAGCGCAGAACGGACTACTGACTACTGAAATGGTAAACCGTGAGAAAGAGAAAGGGAGTAATTGTATAAAGAAACATTCATACAGTTTGATTCCTTGATACGTTTGAATAAAGCAAGAAAAACGGGATTTGCAGAATAAATTGATATTCTATTTCACGTATTCCCTTCAGCTGCATATACTCTAAAAGTACACTGATTATTAGTACAAAAGTTATTTCAAAATCAACAAGTCAATAATCTTAAGTTGTACACTGAAATCGTAGATAATCCTTACAACGTGTAAGAGTTACCGATTGTAAAGAGGTAAGGAATGCAAGAAAGCAAAATAATAAATAAATAAGTAGTTATTTGATAAAAATGAAACATTTACTTGTCAAGTCAATATATATTAAACCGAGGATTGGGGGGGAATACAATTAACACAATAAGGGATTAAAATTAAGAAAGATGAGAACAAACAGGAAGTGGCATGGTTGATCCTAATCTTGGTAAGAAAACAAAGTTTACCAAGGTAGGTGTAGCGCAATAACAAAATTTGTACACATAAAGGTGGTTTAAATTTGTGTATGACTATGGCTTCCTCAATGAAACAATACGAAATCATATTCACTAAGGGAGTGAAAGATGAATCACATCCTCCTTCTGTATGCATAGGTCAGGTGGAAAACTTTTTATTGCAATCCAAGCATTCTCTGTACGTTTATTATTTCAAAACTACTCTAGGTTTAAACCTAATGTCCTGTGTCTACTATGTGTCTGGCTGTTTTCAAGCACAGATTCTTGGGAATATGCTTGGCGAGCTGAATGGATGTCCACCTCTCAGTCCCTCCAGTCTCCTTGCTACGGTAAATGCATGAGAATTCATAGATACAGTTGGAGGTGATATGAGCAGGGTAATTATCCAATTTTGACTGGCCTACCAAGCCATACGATAGTGTATACTGGTTCAAGTTTAGCTTCAGGGAAGTTCCTTCTCAGTGTTTGTTGATCCTTGTGTCTACTCACCTGGATACTGCATCCCCTTTGAATGTAAAGTGTATATTTCTATCGATCTGTTCTCTCCCATACTTCATGATAAAAATCTTAGGAAATTTTTCAATAAAGTTTAGTTCTTCTTCTAACTTGTTCGCAGAAAATGCTTTCCTAGTTCTGTTGTAAAGTGTTTTAACTAGCCCAAGCTTTAAGCTGGCTGAACAGAAACTGTCATAGTTAAGGTGTATTATCCGGTCCATGTGTCTTTTCTATGAATGGTCTTTTCAATCTTACCATGAATTCTTCTCATGTTGAAGTTGAAAAGCTAAACTCGTTTTCATAGAGTCATATTCCATCATAAATTTAATGTTAGAATAAGCCTGGTAAACAACTCATTTGCGTATTTCATGTCATTGTAAACAACAAAGGTGTCGCCAACGTACAGTAATAGGTTGTTCCTCTGATGACTGAACTCAGGGGCATCTGTTCGAGATAACTCATGAAGATATCTGCTAGGATTCTTCCTATCAGTGAGCCCGTTACCACACCATCAACCATTAAGCTGGTTATTGAATCGGAACTGGGCACCTTTTGTGCAAAGATGTAGGTAGCTGTTTCGTTTCTATTTCGGGCAACAATAATAGATCGTTTAGCTGACAGATTATATCAGTCGATTTACTCACTGGTATATTTGTAAACAAGGAAATCATATCATATGACACGATGAGGTTGTTTGAAACGTCGATAAAATCTATTTCATGAGAAACTTCAAATGTATCTTTTAAGCTGTTGATCGTCAATTTATTCCGGATGGGCTCTAAAGATTTTACTAACCAGCTTTTGACATGTCAAGTTAATCATTGACATTATAGATTGATGCATTTTGGATAAACTATGCATTAACGGAAGACGTGAACATTTTGGTTTGAGTTCATCATATATTGCATTGTCAGTCAATAGAGAGTGAAGTGGTTGAGCGCTTTGAACACTTCGCTTACCTGGGAAGTCAGATCTCAGCCCTGGTGCGTTGTTCAGTGGCCGACGAAATCTCTGCGTGGATACAAAAGGCTCGGTTGGCTTTTGCCACCACCGCGATATCCGATTGTCTATTTAGGGTAGAGTGTAGTGTGCTGTAGTCCTTTCTGTTCTACTGTATGGCTGTGAAACAAAGGCATTAAAGGTAGAGGACATGTGAAGGCTTCATTTGTGTGACTACTGTTGCCTTTGTAGTGTTGTCCGTGTTTCGTCGTATCACCACGTGAGTAACACAGAAGTTGGGTGTAGAGTTTTAGGGGGGGGGGTGGGGAGAGGTAAGTCAGTTGATGAGGTTATGGACCTTCATCAACTGAGATGGCTGGCTGCGACATATGTTACGTATGCCTGGTCACCGACTGCCTTGTCACACAATGTTGGCGGAAGTACGTTCAGGCTACAAAAAGACACGCAGCAGCCAGACTAAAACATGCCATCAATGCACGAAGTCATTGACTTAGTTTGAACGATGTAGGGCGATGCAGACTAGTGGGTTAGTGTCCACTGGAAAAGAAAAACCGCTAGTGGTTGTAGACTATAGTTGATGATGTGGCTGAGAACCGATATTGGTAGCACGGATGTTTACACACATTATCCTCATCTTAAGCACGCTACCTAATCTTATCATCTCATTCTTTCTTCCTCTATTTTACTACTTTTTAATTCTACTTCTTTGCTTCTTCATCTTCCATTTTATTTCCTAGTTACTTGATGTGGTGATATGAAATGAGATGAGGTAACTTGGACTGCTGTTCAGTCAGTCATGCCTGGTCGTATGTTGGTCTTGATGATAATGATAATACATTGCTACCAACTTCTTTACAAGATCTCTAAGATAGTTATTTACTCTGTTTTCAAATGTTAATACAACATCCTTTTTAGTAATATCCATATAGAATGTTACCGAATCACTATGAATTGTTCAATATTTCATTCATATAATCATTTTTATGCATTATGATCATAGCAAATCTTTTATCAGGTCCAAACATAACAATATCTGCTCTAATGTGTAGTTTGCGCAATGTCAGTTTATGCTCTTTCATAGAGAAAAGAAGAGTATTCATGTTATAAAATGATAACATCATTTTACCTGATAATTATTAAAGGAATGCATACTGCGTCAACGGTATCATTTTATATAACTAACTGTATTCTTATGCATACACTCGACCTTAAAATAATCTGAATATTTTCTGAGTTGAAAATTAAAATGACTCATTGTTAAAACAACTATTATTATTATTATTTTCCCTTGGGTACCTAGTGGAACATAGGGCTTCCGTAGCACACTTCCATTCCACTCTCTTCTCTGCAGTCTTTTCAACCTCGCTCCACAACTGCCCATAAGCTTTCATTTCTTTCTCACATGATCTCCATGTCACCCTCAGCTGCGATGCCCAACTCGTGGGTTCTCATTTGGATTCCACTCGAGGGTCTGGCCTGGCGCATGATGTCCCCAATCGCCTTTTCAGTGTATGCCCGAATCAATCCATCTCCACTTTCTCCTCCTGGATATTTGTTGGGTGATAGGTTCTTGCTTCGTTCGTTCATTCCGAGTTCCTTATTGCTTATTTTTTCTGGCCATCTGGTCTTCAGTATCGAGCCAGCCTAGGCAGCTGTTGATGAATGTGTATCGTTTGTTGGAAGTGCTTTTCGTGATGCGCCAAGTCTCTCAAGCATCACACGAAAGCATTGACTTGACGGACTTAGTGTTGAAGATCCGGATCTTGTTCTTTATACTGAGTGCAGTAGATCACACTGATTATTTCAGATTAATGAAAGCCTGTCTTGCTGTCTTTCCGATCCTGGTTTTTAAATCCTCATCTGTGCCAGTGCCGCCTGTAGCTGAAACGATGCTGCCTATGTAGGTGAGAGAGACTACTTTAGGTTTCTTCCGTTAACTCTGCTGTTCAAACAATAAGACATAATTTATCTGGATCATTTAATGTATTTATCCAATACATTTTGAACAATCTGATCAGTTACACACCAACTTGTCATCGAATTGAAAAATTGCAGAGTTAAACACGTAAGTAAATGATTATTAATCAGATGAGAAAACTACAACGAAACGTTAATAGTACTACCGATAGCCTCGTTGGGTTCGAAGCCGAATTTTTCAAGAATGATAAATTGTTTATGAACGGGTAAAGGTGGTTTCAACCTTCACTAGACTTTATAATACGTGCCCAATAGGTGCTAGAGGTGGGCTTAAACTACTTTAGTACATCCATTTTATGCCTCACGGTTTCAGTGATATGTTATTGTATTTGCACACAATTTCTTCTGGTGTCACTATTTTCTCTGCTTCATAATTTTTGTCTGGAAGAGAAATACCTACAACATAGAGGTCAGACATTCACAGTTTTTCCATTCACATGTTTTGATGAAATCACCATGTGAGCAGTGTTGTAGTGAGGTGATTGATGATAAAGTTGTGAACCTTTATTGGCTGAGTTGACTTCTACATGTATTATGCATGGCCAAGCCATTACCGCCTACTTCAACGTATAGAGAGTGTATCGTGGTGAAACCAAGACATGGAACTAGTCGGTAAAGTTCTTCACTGTTGATCTGAGCCATATAAGGAGGTGTAGACTTCCGTGAGACAATCGAAATCAGTGTTTGAGAACTCTTGGTGAAATGGCTAGAAATCAGTTACAATGACTCAGATATATTCACCCTGTGATGTCTTCTGAAGATTGAATGTTTTGTTTAGTCCTAATGTTTTACATTACCTCTCCTCTCATACACCTTTTCTTTCCACTTGTTATTTGTATACTACTATAGTAGGCATTGCTGATAAAATTGGATGTAAGTGGTATATGTTGAGTGGGTGGCAGAAATCATAGGGAATTATCAGCCATGGATAAGGATTTCGCCAAGAGACAAGGTAGGAGGGAATGATAGTTTTAGTGCAAGGTGTACCCCATATTTAACGACTACTGTCCCACTTGTTGACAATAAACATTCCTTCCTTCGTACCTATCTTTGGCTTCTTTCACTACTGAAACCAATAAACTTGTCCATGAATTTGTAGGTGAATCTTTTTCTCTGTTCCTGTCTATAGGAGAAAGTTGATTAGTATAATCTACTCTATCGTTTTTTCATTTAATCTTTATTCAGTTTCTCTCCTCAAGTTTACACTATTATATTCATCTATGCTTCTTTCTTCTTCTATTCTAGTGTTGTGCTCTACTTTCAAATGTTCAAACAAAACTCAATGAAATAGATCCAGAATCTGGTTCATTCGCATTTTTACCGCATAATAATGCCAACAACAACAATAATGCTGCTGCTGCTGCTAGTAATAATAATAATAACGATAATAGTAATTATAATAATGTTAATAACAGTACAACTTTAAATAATGTCGAGTCATTTTCGTGTCAAGATCCAACATATTTATCGACTAACATCAAATCAGATAATGATGATCCTACTACAAATACAAAAACAATGATAACTAATAACTATAATTTTCAAAATCGTTTAACCAGAGAATCTTCGTATACATTAGATAATGCTAATACTAATAACAATAATAATAACAATATGAATAGTAACTGTGAAAAATCTACGTCTTCATTTGATTCTCTATCTAATTCAACGCCTTCTTCATCAGAATATCTAAATCCAACTGATGAAGAACAGGCTAAAACAGCGGCTGCTGTTGCTGCTGCAGCTTGTATTGGTAAGTTCGATACTCACTATTGAATCAGTGTATTAATCAACTTATTATGATCTTTTTTTCCGCAACATTTCTCTCCAACCAAGTTCGGATTGTTGCCTCACAACTAGTCTTTGGTGGTAACAATAAAGATATTCGAGTGTATCGAACAAACATTGACACTGCACCAGGTCCTGGAACATAGACATGCTTACAGACGCCCGACAATAACTGTATTTCTCGACCTAAAAGTGGCATTCGACTTCGTTGATCGAGAAGTCTTGTGGCAATGTCTCTCATTGAAAGGCGTGCCAAGTAAGTACATCACATTATTGAAAACCCTCTACTCGAACACTTGTGGGCGTGTTGGAGCCTGTGGTAAAATGTCCAGGAGGCTACGCTCATCGAGTGGTGTCCACTGTCCATTCTTATTCAGTTCATCATAGATATTCTTATGAAGTTCTCCCTCTTGTCATCTGAGTAAACAGACGTTGACCTAATCGGTGGAGAAATTTCGTTAGACTTAGAATATGCAGATGACATAATCACTCCTGTCACGTGAAGACGCTGACAAGATGCAGGATCTTCTGAACACTTTGAGTGGGAATTTGAAATGTTTCGGATGGCTTTCTCATCACCCGAATGCAAATTGCTGCTCCAGGATTGGTCTTCAGCGGTGCCACGCCTAACCACAGAGAGTGAAGTGGTTGAGTGTGTCGACCACTTCACTTACCTGGGGAGTAGGATCAGCCCTGGTGCATTGATCAGTGGCCGTTGAAATCTCCGCACGGATACAAAAGGCTCGATTGGCTTTCGCCAACTTACGCCACCTATGGCGCCGCCGCGATATCCGGTTATCTATTAAGGGTCATATGTACTGCACAGCAGTCCACTCTGTTCTACTCTATGACTGTGAAACATCACCATTGAAGGTGGAAAACATGAGAAGGCGGCTTCAAGTGTTTGACCACCGTTGCCTTCGTAGTGTATAGGCCGTATTTCTTGGTGTCACCAGGTGAGTAATGCAGAAGTGAGGTATAGAGTTTTAGCGAGGGAGTAGAGGTAAATCAGTTGACGATGTTATGAACCTTGATCGATTGAGATGGATGGTTGTGACACGTGTTACGTATGCCTAGTTGCCGATTGCCTCGTCACACAATGTTGGTGGAAGTTGTTCCAGGCTGGGAAAAGGGTGGAGGTGGCCAGACTAAAACATGGCACCAATGTATGGAGTGTTTGACTGTTGGTTTGAGCCATGTGGGGGTGATGCAGACTAGTGGTGGTTGGTGTCCGTGGGACAAGAGGAACCAGTGGTTGGAGACTGACTGACTGACTGACTGACTGTAGGTGATATGGCTGAGAACGGATGTTGGTGGCGCAGATGTATCCCGACACACATTATCGTCATGTTAACGATGCTATACGGAATGTCACCATTTTCTCATTCTTCGTTTTCTGTCTTTTGGTAGTTTATATTTCTTTTGACTGAGTTTTCTTATCTTCATCTTGGACGTGACTACCTTTCTAGTTGATGTAGTTATTATATGAGGTGTGGCAACTCGGAGTGTTATGCAGTAATGCCTGATCCTATGCTGATATTAATAATGATGATGATGGCAATAATAAAGTGAGTGACTACATTGAACACTTCACTTATCTGAGAAGTCGGATTTCAACCCTGGTGCATTTTTCAGTGGCGGATGAAATCTGTGCACGGATATAAAAGGCTCGATTGGCTTTTGCCAACTTACACCATCTGTGTCGCCAACGCGATATCGGAATGTCTATCAGGGGTTGAGTGTAGTGTACTGTAGTCCGCTCTATTCTACTGTATGGCTGTGAAAGATAGGCATTAAAGGTATAGGACATGAGAAGGCTTCATTTGTTTGACCTCCACTGCCTTCGCAGCATGGACTGTATTTCGTGGTGTCACCACGGGAGTAACAACAACCGTTTTCATTGGTCAAAGGAGTTGACTTTTCAACCAATGAGTGACAGATTTGTGTTGCGCTCCACTCATCGAGGTTTGTACAGCCAGTTAGTGGCATCACTAGCCGTGACACCCACAATAGATGTCGCTCATTATCGCCTGCTGTATGAATGTGCACAAGATTGCTCTGAGAGTATTTTGATTTTTGGCTGAACTAACCCAGGAGTTCAGCTTAATCTTTAAAATTCACCATTGTTTTAATAAGTGTTGATACGTTAAGTCTCATCGCACATGTCCAGAAGATTCCCAGCACCAAATGAAACTGATAACTATCATAGACATAGATGGATGATATTCAGTCTTACGTGTATTTAAACCTTGAAGCGTGTTAGCTGACCAAATAAATTGTCAAGCTGTTCGATCAAATCCAGAAAAAAGGGTTATACCAGTTATTTATATAAGCCCAGTTTTGAGGTATTTTTGTCGACTGACAACAGTATTATGACCAACGGTATATATATATATATATATATATATATATATATATATATATATATATATATATACAGTCAACCCTCTACCTCAACTTCATCGACTTCGAGAAGGCCTTTGAAAGCGTCGACCGAGAAGTAATTTGGAAACTGCTTCAATACTACTGAGTACCGCAAACCTTTATCCGCCTCATTCAACAACTATATGAGGACGCCACACGCCAAGTAATTTAATTCACAATGTGAAGCTCAGCGATGCTTTTGAAGTGAAGACAGGAGTGAAACAAGGTTGCCTACTATCACCTATGATACTCCTGATTGTAGTGGACTGGATCATGCAATAAACAGTGAGGAGCGAGGAGAGGGGGATACACTGGACTGCGGAAAAGAACCTAGAAGATTTGGATTTCGCCGATGACTTATGTCTAATGTCGCACTAACTTGAAGATCTATAGGCAAAGACCAACAAGTTGACAGAAGAGGCAGGGCAGGGCAGCGAAGACGGGACTTCAAGTGAATGTAGAGAAGACAGAGGTGATGAAGATACCCAACCATCAACAACAACAAACACCAATCACCATCAACGGGAGAAACTTAGAAGAAGTAACCTCTTTCACCTATCTAGGCAGCACTGTTTCAACTACAGACGGCACAGACGAGGATGTCAAAGCCAGCCAGGATCGGAAAGACAGCAGGACAGGCGTTCATTAGCCTGAAACCAGTGTGGAGATGGACTGCACTCAGCATATGGAACAATATCCGGATTTTCAAAAGCAATCCAGTCAAGTCAGTGTTTCTCTATGGTTCAGAGACTTGGCGCGTTACGAAAGGGATTTTTAACAAACTACAGACATTCATCAACAACTGTCTACACTGGCTCGATAGTGAAGATCAGATGGCCAGAAATAATAAGCAACAAGAAACTCTGGCTGTCTGGCAACGAAACAACCAAGAAGCTATCGCTCAACAAATATGCAGAAAACAGAAGTGGAGATGGATTGGGCATACACTGAGAAGGTTGATTGCGGACTTCACGCGTCACGCCAGTCACTCCAGTTGAACCCAATTGGGAAGCGACGGGTTGAGCGTCCCAGCTGAGGGTGACATGGAAGAGATCGTGCGATGAGGAAATAAGAGCTTGTGGGCTGTCGTGGAGCCAGGTTCAAAAGATTTCACAGAACAGAGTGTACTGGAGACGTGCTGCTGAAGCCCTATGTTCCATCAGGAACCCAAGGGACACATAATAATATGATAAGTTATATATATATATATATATATATATATATATATATATATATATATATATATATATATATATATATATATATATATATATATATATGACGATGCAGTGCCGCGATGCGATGCGAATTACGATAAAACAGTGACTTCCCAACGCAATCTACATCTGACATCAGAAGGAGATGATGAGATTGAAACTATATTCGCTTCAACCGAATAATCATCCCATAGCTGAGAAGTCAGTCATTCATATCTCCTGAGATGACCTTAGCCCCTGTGGAAAATAAAGTAGTATATTAAAAGTATAAAACTAACCAATTATAGCATTTATTATCCTAAATTGCGGTAAAAAGTAAGTAATATCGCATGGCTTAAAAAAGCGCCAAAATAAGGTTTAAGTCTTTAAATAATAATATATACATGTTATAAGTTATAAAAATTCCTATCGTGTAAATTAGAACAAGACATATAAGCGAACAGTATTCTTTTCAATTAGATCCTCTTCAGGCTTCCCTTACTCTAATACAAATGGCTTAGGATATATATAAAAAGGCAAACTAATCATGTAGATTTGTAGGTTGATGTGATAAATGTTGAATGTAACGGTGGAGATGACAATACAAATAATAATAATAATGAAGTTGATAAAAGTAATAACTTCTGTTAGCTCATAACATAGCGCGACCGCCATTCAGTGTCATCATTGGGTCACTGTCCTCACGACTATCAGGCTATGCCCCCATCGGTCACGACTTTTCATTGGAACTTCGGGAATACGTCTCGAAGCCAGTCACCAATGAGCACCAGTTGAATTGAATTTTGAGGGTTCGATCCCTGTTGGGGTCGTGGGTGCGCACTACTGAGGAGTCCCATACTAGTCGGACGAAACAGCTGTCCAGTGCTCCCAGGTTTTCTTTGTTCCTCCAGCTGATGTCAGTCTACGATGAATAACAACTTGAAATATTTCCGAATCCCCACAACTCCCTCAAAAAAGTGATAACGTTGACTAAAGTGCATGCAATATAGATGATGATAATGGTTCTTATCGAACCAAGAAAGCAGCATGAAAATGTAGACACTCCGATAATCAAAATGAATCAAAAGCTTGTGAAAATAAAAGTTACTTAATGGTGAAGGGCGAGGTAAGTGGATAAACAAAGCCTAGACGAATACAATAAGCATACGAAAGGGGTAGGAAAAAACAACAACTGAATGATTAAGTTATTAACTAAGTATTCTCTGGCCAAGGGAGAGATAAGGGATGTACACACTTCTGGATACAAAGACTAGGATTATTAGCTCGAATTCTGACAGCTTCTGCGATGTGTAAAAGACGAGTTTGAATACCTTTCGAAAGATGA